ATCCCAGTAAATAATGCTTACTTATTAATAAGTAAGAATCTGACTTATTTTGGATTAACCAAATTCTGACCTTTTTTTCTTATTTTTTTTTCTTGTGCATATTTTTTTAAAATGTCAATACTAAATTGTTAATGGTCAGTGTATGTGGTTAGCATCATGCCACATATATTTTTGGATCTATATTGTGTTTACTATTTTGAAAAGCTGTTTTAGGGAAGTAAAGTCCAATTATTTATTTTTTGCATAAACATTGGTCTTTTCCTCTCAGGCATGAATTTTGTTTTTGTTTTTTTTTTTTTTTTTTTTTTTTTTTTCTAGTAGTTACCTTGTTATCTTTTTTTTTTTTTTTTTTTTGACTATAACAACCACCATTTTGTTTTATTTCATGAATACATGATAGAAGTCCAATCAGGGCTCCATGGTTTATTCTTTTGCTCCACTTGGCATCACTTAACAGCAGGATAGATCCAGAGGAACAGAGATGATTTTTTTTTTTACTCCAAAGAAGAAACAATTTTATTTTTTTTATTTTACAAATAAAACACTTTAATTCTCAATGAGTCCAATATTTCAATTATACTGTACTATGTAAATATTAATTTCACTACTTTTATTTCCTTACATATTCATAACTAAGACAATTGCTAATGTTTTGACAAAACGTGTAGAATAATTGCAACATTTTTTCTTTGATTATTAAGATTGCTTTGCACAGCTTTAACTTGAACATTTCTGTGGTCACAAAGTGTTGCACAAAGCAAGAGCTGTCAGGCATGAATTTTGGATATTATGTCCTGATAGATCACTGGTGCACATGATTACTTGGCAGAGAGTTTCAGAAATGTGTCCCAGTTAGAGCCTTGGAGTACATGCGTGGTAAAATATGGATGGAGAGCAGAGGGAAGCTGTTACTTATGGCTCCAGAATGTCAGATTCTGAATGGCCTTAGGGGGCTTCCAACCCAAATGGTTAACTCAGTTGCCTAAAACATAGTACTATGCAAGTTATATAACTAGTTCTGCTTTGGATATTAAGTTGTCAAGAGACATCTCCTCTGTGGCAACTTTGTATCACTTGTACCAATGTTTTCCCATTCATGTTGATTACAGGGGGTTTTCAGAAGAGTTTGGTGGATATTAGTTCATCACTGCTATTGGGAAGGCAGTGTCAGTGGCAATGGCAAATCAGTGGAGGGGAACATGAATCTTTTTTTTTAAACTCAACAAACACTTGAATACCTATTATTTGACTCAGTTTCAGTGCCAGGAATCACAGATGTGAAAGATGATACAGTTGCTTCCTCACTGTGCTCAAAGTCTGTTGGAGGAGGCTAGGAGGTAAATGAGGTTATCTGCCTACCTGTTAAGTGCAACTGGAGAAGGCTGGAAGAGGAACAAGGGAGCTGTTCAGAAAGACCTAATATCTGGCTGGATTTTGTCAGAGAAATAAAAGCAGCCAGTGATTTCTGTGGAATCAATAGGCATAGGTTTAAGAATCAATAGTAATACTCCCGTTTTATGTCCCTTAAAAATTTAGGAGTCTTTCTACATGTGAGTATCCCTTTAGTAACTCTAGATTTGGCCATTTATTGCATGGATATTAAGGACAGTCTGATTTTTTAAGTGCATTTTTTTATTTGTTCTAATTGTGATTATTTTATTTTGGTACTGGATTGAACCCAGGAGCTCTTTGCTACTGAGCCATATCCCCATCCATTTTTACTTTTCATTTTGAGACAGGCTCTTATTAAGTTGTAAGGCTGGCCTCGAACTTGTGATCTTCTCACCTTAGCTATAGCATCAGGCGAGGATTATCTGATTCTTGAACAGTCAAGAGGAAGAATATTAAAATTGAGGGGTTTAGTATGTTTAGATCTCATAAATTTAACACATGGCTAGTGATCACAGAAAATGGATTCTCAATGAAGAAAGAAAAGAGTTGCTGTGTGAAAGAAGGTGGCCCTTTCCAAATACAACTGTGTTTAAAAATGAGTGCTTTATGTCTAAAGCAATGGCTAAAACATCATTTAGTTCTTAACTCTCCCCCACACCTTTTTTTTTTTGAAAGAACTAGCTCAGCAGATCATATTGATTCTGATTATAAGATATCCAAATAAATAAATTCCCCTGATTTGACTTTCTTCAGATTAGACCAGTAAATTTATGTGAACATTGTTACTGATTTTCTGACATGTTTATTGTATATAAAGTTTTACTGTTTGTTTCTTATTAAGAACGTAGGGTGCTTTACATACATTGTTCATTGTTATTGATGAAAACATTGTACTTAAAAATAATTGAGGTATGAGTTGGTAAACATTTTTCTTATAAAACCAGACCTCTATAGAGTATTAATACATAGCAGATCATTTCCTTTAGGGGGTGGAAAAAATCCAAGACCTTCAACTCTAAGATGTGCTCACTAACAGCTGTTTCCTATAATAGGAGCAATTTGCATGCAGAACAGAGAAAATGAATTATACAAAAGGGTGTATAGAGGAATAGCTGTAACTTCTTTGGCATGTGCAGCAGCCCACAAAATAAACTTCCTTCAGATGACATTGGCATGATTAATCCCAAGCACTGGACACTAAAACTGCTGTTCTCTATAGCCTGGAAGTGCCATGGGTGTAACTCTAGCCACTCAGTTGGTGTGGGGTAGGGCTGCTCTGTGCATTTAGTGGGCATCTCCCCCGACAGTTCTTAGGGAATTTGAATATTCATGACAAGTTGGCAGGTGGTCAGTGGATGTAAGACTGACAGTCACTCCAATAGGTTATTAGGTCAACCTATAAGGTTAAAGCAGGATGGCTTCTTCCTGAATTACTTCTGATATCAGTTAGGGGAAAATTTCCTAAGGTTGGTCAGACATTAAAATCTTGCCTTCCGTGCACCTCTTGTAACCGGATGGATACTTGGAGCATGTCTAAACCATTTTCATTGTACATTATCAACATCCCTTTTTGTAATAAAAATACCACGTTTGTAGTACTCTCCATAGAGTCTCCTTGCGTATTCTACCCATGCTTGCAGGTGGTGGATGGTGTTATCTCCCTGTTAAAGGGAAAGGCATTGGAAGCTAGAGTCTAGAGACTTATCCGTTGAGGGCCAGAGACCTGAGTATTCTTATCCAAATCCAGTTCCTCTACTTGCTTTCTCCTTTAGATTTTCAAGGTTTCATGGTGACTGCATGTTTTAGGGATAGATTTCCTCTCTCACATGAGTCAATGATTGAGAAGTTCACTGTGCCAGGCTCTGTGTTATCTCTTTTATGCATATCACGAAGTCCCATTGGGCTGCTATGACAAAGTATCATAGATTGGGTGATTTATAAACAACAGAAACTGATTTCTCACAGTCGTGGTGACTGGAAGTCTGAGATCAGGGTGCCAGCATTGTTGGGGTCTAGCAAGGGTCCTCCTCAGAGCTACAGACTCCTGTCTTTTTCCTTCTCATGTAGTGGAAGAGGCCAGAGAGCTCTTTGGGGTCTCTTTTTAAGGGGACTAAACCCTTTCAAAAGGGCTCTACCCTAATTACCTCATCACCTCCCATAGGCCCCATTTCCTAAAATTGTTACCATCAAAGGTTAAGGTGTCAACATATAAATTTTGAGGGGACACCAACACCCACTTTATGACTGCCACATGCCAGTCTGCTTAATCTTCATACTGTCAGGAAGAGGAAACTTTGCAGAGGTAGCTTGGAGTTTGAGGTGGATCACAGATTGGCAGCCAGAGCTCTTGACATTCTATCTTCCTGAGATAAACATTTTTTCTGTCCTTGAGGGAGGGAATGGAAGTTAGCAGGTGAGGGTCTTGACTATATGGTCATAAGAAGCTCTGCTGAATGACTCAGTTAATGCTCCAGTCGTGGGTGGGGGGTGAGGTAAAAGAAGAAGGGATGTAGTACTAGAAGGTCATTATGAAGAAATTGGTATTTGAATTGCACAGAGAATACTGAGTAGTTCAAGGTGTAGTGGAAGGAACAGCAGGGGGACTGGGAACAGGTGGGAGGTGACAAAGAGAAGCCTGGGAAGGTAAGCTGGAGCAGCTGCAGAGGACTTGACATACCAGAGTCTATGGCCTTGTTTTTTAGTTTTACTGAAAAAAAAAAAAAAAAAAAAAAATATATATATATATATATATATATATATATATATGGTTTTTACTTTGTAAAACTACAAAACTGAAAACTGTAGTCCTAACCTGGATAACAAAACTGTAGTCTTAACCTGGATAATTAAAATTGGCTTCTGATTGACTTTGGTTGAATGAAAATTTTAGTGGGATGAAATCTTAGCTTCCTAGGATCACTCTCATTCTCATTCCCCAAGAGCTTACCTAATAGTTTTTCGTCCTTCTAACTCCATAAGAAATACAGATGCCTTATTGTTTGTTATATATTCTTGTGACGTGATTAGATTTTAAGTGTTTGTATGTTTACCAGTATTTCAATACTTTCCTTTTTTGGAGGGTGCGGGTAATGAATTTTCATGGGCATCAATAAAGATGACGGACTGTGGGTTGGCGATTTCTTAAGGAAGGAGGCTGGCATAGACATCAGGGCATCTCAAACAAGTGAGCAGTTTAGGTAGAGAGTGATTTGTATCTAAGCCCAGATATAGGACTTTTGTTAGGAAATTTGTCATTATTTTCAAGCTTTGAGCCATATGAGCTATCTTTAATTTACCTAAGGCTTTAGAGCAGGTGATAACAACTGAAGTCCACTCATTAATGATCATAGTTGCTTGATGAGCTATGCTCCACCAAGATCTCAATAAATCACTTACATGTTTGCTCAAGATAGGAAAAGTTATTGTTGCAGATGCTAGAGAAGAAATAAAGACTACAAAAGACAGTCGACCATGGGACTGATAAGGGGTTGTGAAAACTGGGGGTGATCTAGATATAGAATGGGATTTCTTTCTTTCTTTTTTTTTGAAAGAAGAATGTCTTTTGTCTATTATTCTCATCTTTCCTATTCTCTTTTTTAATGTTGCAGTGTGCAAAGATCCACCTTACAAAGTAGAAGAATCTGGGTATGCTGGTTTCATTTTGCCAATTGAGGTTTATTTTAAAAACAAGGTAGGTAATCTTTACCCATTAATCTCTCAGAAGATCCTCCTTTCACCAAATGTTTAAAATGATGTTGACTTGTAAACCCTTCTATGGCTTGATGATTTTAAAATAAATTAAACTTGTCTTCCTAGAATTTTGGCTATCATTACTCTTAATCATGGTAGAGGTAACTATGAAAAGATAATTTCAGTGATATGAAGTAAAATTATATGAAATTCATCAAGTATTCCTTTTTGATAGAAGAGTGATTACCATGTTGCACAAGATTGATATGTTTTGGTAAAATAGGAAAGAGGAATTATGGTTTTTCAGTGAAATGCTCCTTTTCTCATTTCATATTTCTGGAATTTTTGAGGCTTACAAAGAATAATCTCAAGTTATCTTTAGGTAATACCTACACACATATACAGTAATTTCAACTAGAGACATAATGAATTCAACTGGAATCGAAAGTTTTCAACAGTACCTATGTGACAGAGTATACTGACTATATAATATTGAATAAATTGTCCAGCCTCTCTAGGGCTACTTTTCTCATTTATAAAATGGGGAGATAAGACTATTTACCTCATAAGGTGGCTATAAGGATTACATAAAATGATTACTCTAAAATTTTTAAAGTATTTAGAATAATGCCTCCTGTATAACTAAATACCTAATAAATTCTAGTATTTTTAATCATACTATTCCTTATTTTTCTTCCAAAGGTATTATAGTTTTTACATGCCCTGAAGTGAGAAAATTCACTTTAAAAAAAAGGAATTAAGCAAATACAGTTTCATGTTTTTCAAGCCAGTGCTCCATAAAATGTGGTTCTTGGGATGGCATCAGCATTATTTCCCAAGAGCAAGTCAGAAAAGAGATTCTCAGAATCTACCCAGATCCAGAGCATCAGAACCTCTGGTGTGCAACCTACAGATATGCATATTTAGTAGTCCTCTGAATGATTCTGATGCTCAGTAAAAGATGAGAATCAAAGATAAGCCACTCTCTGTGCAGTACCTGCCACTGGAACAGTGTCCACTGGCTTTTTATATGCAAGGCTCACTTTGAAATCAGTGAAGATTGCTTTCTGCTGAAGAGATAATTACTTTTAATTAAGTTATATTAACACTGTCCTAAGAATGACAAGATGGATTTTATTTTTCATATTTTTCTTACCCTATCTCTTTATGTACCACATTTCTGTGGCACCATATTTCTGTAAACCTTCTACCCAATTTGTTGGAGTTTCTTTATTATTAGTATTCTTGTGACATATTAGTCAGTAACATTTCTCCATAGTTCAGCGTTCAAGTGCTTACTTGACAGTATGCTGATATGTATGTTATTTTGCTTAAGATTTGTAAAAATGACTTTAAAAACCTTTTAGAAGTAAGTACCACTAACCCTACTTTACAGGGAAGGAAACCAAGTCATGGAGAATTTGAGTAGCTAATCCAAGATCTCACATAGTTACAGTGTTAAAATCAGATTTTTGATCTAGATCTTTCTCTCCATTGGCTCTACTAAACATTTCTGCCTCAAAAATAATGTTTACTAGAATAATTACCATCTTTCAAAGTGGTTACAACACTGAGTTGTTCATATATCTCTCATCAAATAAGAATTTATTGAAATACATTGATACTTGCATTTATATTAATGCACTGATCTGTTTTTTTTCTTCTTCTCATTTCAAACTGAATTTCCCTTAAACTTTTGGCTTTCTTTTTTTTCTTGTTTAAAAAAAACTATGATATAATTTACTTACCATAAAACTCACCCTTTTAAAGTTCACCGCATGGTGGTTTTTGGTATATTCACAGAGTTGTGCAACCATCACCACTAATTTCAGAGCATTTTTATCACCCCATAAAGAAACACTGTACCCATTAACATTCATTTCTCATTCTGTCTTCCAGTCCCTGGTATCCATTAATCTGTTTCTTTTCTTTATAGGCTTTCCTCTTCTGGACATTTTATATAAATGGAACTATAAATATGTGGCCTTTTGTGTCTGGTTTCTTTCACTTACTATGTTGTCAGGGTTTATCCATGTTGTAGGATATATCAGTACTTATTCTTAAAACTGAATAATATTCCATTGTATAAATATGTCACGTTTTGTTTTTTCATTTGTAAGTTTGATGGCTGTTGGACTTGTTTCTACTTTTTGATGATTATGAGTAATGCTGATAATGAATATTCATTTACAAGTTTTTGTGTGGACATATGTTTTCAAATCTCCTGAGTATATACCTACATAGAACTGTTTGGCCATATGGTAATTCTGTCTTTAACTTTTTGAGGGATTGTTAAACTGTTTTCCAAAGTGACTGTCCCATTTTTCATTCCTATTAGCAATGTATGAAGGTTCTAATTTCTCCAACACTTGTTAACTTTCCATGTTTCCTTTTGACTATGGTCATCCTAATGTGTGTAAAGTGGTATCTCCTTTTAGCTTTGTGTTTTTTTGATGACTTAAGACATTGAATATCTTCATATGCTTATTGTTGTCTGTTTGCTTATATTCGTTGGAGAAATGAATACTCAAATCTTTTTCCCATTTTACAGTGTATTTTTAATTTAAGTGGTTTTATTTATGAGAAGAAATTCAGAGCCTTTTTCCTAGCCCTACCTTTAAAAAATATTTTGAAAGTTTAATGAAGATCATATGATGGTTTTCTTTCTTCTTGTCACATTATATCCAGTGTTTCAATTTCATCTAGGGATTGGGTTATACTTTAGGAAGAATCTAGCCCTCTAAGCCCAAAAGTCTTGACTCAAAGAAATCAGAGGATTAGCAACTAGGATCTCTTGAGGTGGACTGACTGCATGGTTATGGATAAACCTCTCTTTCATCATCTGAGGTTGACATTTTTCCAGCTTCAGTTTGAAAACAGTAGTGGAGTGCCATCTCTTACTTTTTTTGTTTATAGCTTTTCTGGTCATTTTTATAAGAATCTATTTTTTGAATTGCTCACCTTTTTACTGTATATAAATATCTGGAATCTTTCCATACACTAGAATTAAAAAAGAATCAATGAAGAATGAAGAGGCACCATGTATTATTCCTTATCCTCCCACTGTCTACTTCAAACTCATGGAGTAGAATAAAAAGCAAGTTATAATGAAGACACTAAAAGCACTTGTACCCGTGACTTAGACACATTTACTTTACGAGAGATGTTGGTTTCTTAAAATATGAAAGAAGAAAGAGGCACATGAGATAGAAGCAGTTCTTCCTTTGTTATAGACATTTAGACTGAATGCCATTAAGAGCATTTCTCTATTTAGTATTTAAATTTGTTTATTTTCTGGTTTTAGGTTTTCTTTAAGATTTCATACTTAATAATTATTGCTATTTTCACATGAGCATAATGAGACATACACATTTTTCAGTGTTTATAATTTAAAATGTCAGGATCTTCTTAGTGGGCCATATGTAGATATTTGGATTAATAAATGGGACTTAATAACACAGAATATCATATAGTACTTAAGTCTCAGAATATGGTGATAATTTGAGTTGTAGAAATAAATACATAAAAATGTGTGGATACATATATATACATATATAATACATATATATGTGGTTGTGATAGCATTGATGTATGCTTTTTAAAATCAATGAGATGAGTAAATGGTATTTTGGAAATGCACATATGTGATATAAAAGTATGTGTCAGAATAACAATAGAGGAATTTAAAGGCATTGGTTACTGGGGGAGGAGATGGAGAAGTTTTATCTACACTTTTTTTTTTTTTTTTAAAGAAAGCGTTAGCCTGGCATGGTGAAACATGCCTGTAATCCCAATGACCCAGGTGACTGAGACAGGAAGTTTGCAAGTTCAAGGTCAGCCTCAGCAATTTAGCAAGACCCTATCTCAAAATTAAGAAAAGAAAAGAAAGAAAAAAAAAAAAAAGGACTGGTACTGTAGCTCAGAATACCCCTGGGTTCAGTCCCCAGTACCAACAACAACAAAAACAAAAAATTTAAGAAAGAAGTAAAGCAAATTTAGTGAAAGAGTTCTTTTAATCTCAGTGGTGAGTACTTGGATGTAGTATTTTAAGTACTTTTTATATGTTACTGATTTTTAAAAATATATATATTTTTTATTGTAATTGGACATAACACCTTTATTTTATTTATTTTTATGTGATGCTGAGGATCAAACCCAGTGCCTCGCACGTGCTAGGCGAGTGCTCTACCACTGAGCCATAACCCCAGCCCTTGTTACTGACTTTTTTTAATCAAAAAGAAAGTCTTATTTTGCCACCCCTTTTAATTTATCTTAAGCCTCTTAGAAACAAGCTTTTTTTCCCCTGTATTTCAGAAAATACAGAATATTGTATTTTTTTGTGTGTGTATTGGATCTCTGAGCTGGGTGTATTTTTTAATAATTTTATTGTGGTAAAAATACAACATCATCTCTGAGCAGATTTTAAGTGTGCCTTGCTGTTGATTGAAGGTGCAGTGTCATGCAACAGATCTTTCATGCTCATTCACATTATTTAATTGAAACTTCATGCTTGTTGACTAATAACTCCCATTTCCACTTTTTTTAAAATATGTGCTGCTTTCACCCTCCACATTTTGCTTTTTATTTTTTTTAAAGAGAGAGAGAGAGAGAGAGAGAGAGAGAGAGAGAGAGAGAGAGAGAGAGAGAGAGAGAATTTTTTAATATTTATTTTTTAGTTTTCAGCGAACAGAACATCTTTGTATGTGGTGCTGAGGATCGAACCCAGGCTGCACGCATGCCAGGCGAGCGCGCTACCACTTGAGCCATATCCCCAGCCCCCCATTTCCACTTTCACACAGCTTCTGCTAACTAGTCTTCCAGTCTTACATTTTATGAATTTGGTGACTATTTTAGATACCTTATATAAGTGGAATCATGCAACATTTGTCTCTGGTGTCTGTTTTATTTCACTTAACATGATGTCCCCAAGGTCCAAGTAGATATATTTCTTGTTTCTCTTCCTACTGAAATGATTCAGTGGTAAAAATTTAGTAGGTCTAGGCTCTAGTTCCAGAATGTTTATTTCATTTCTCTTGAGCATTTATCATTTTCTTTATTATAGAAGTTTGTCCTACTCTTTCCTGAAGAGTGAGCATCCATTACAGTAATGGTTTACTAAAAAGTATTTAGAATTTTCCTGGGAGAGAGGAAGCAGCCCAGCGTGTTCCCCATGATGCTGGGGGAGCCCTACAGCTGCAGGTTGTGTCTGCCAGCCTTGCCCTGCCTCCCTGCCTCAGTTTTGTACTTGTCCTCATCTTTGATTATTTATTTGAGCTGTGGAGACGAGAGCAGGTTGAGTGTCATTCCTTCTCTTCAGTTTAGTGTGTTTAGTCTGTCTTATTTTGTATTTGTGCTAAACAAAATCAGCCTGAGAGTCACGTTTCAGAAACTAAGAACTAACGGGCACCCTGGAACATAATTCACACTGGCACTTTAGGTTTGAAAGGCTATATGCTTCTCTCTTTTAGTCTGTTTTCAGAAAAAGCACATGACTAAATATCAAGGACTGAAACTCCTGCATCATGAGAGGGGTGATGTGATGCCCAAACCAGATTTCCACCTGTAGGAGATGCATTAGTTTTATATATAGAACAAATACATGTTTCTTATTTGAACTTTGAAGAAGAATCTTTGCTGAGGATCGTATTGATATAATATATATCCTCTAAAAGAAGATGCCCCTTTGGCCAAAACACAAGTTTATGGTTACTTTTTCCTTACTCAAAAACAAACTTTAAAATTATACTGGGATTCATAGTGAGTCACTTTCTACAGTCCTTACTCTTAGTTTTATTGAAAAGTAATGGCTTTTTTGTTTATTTGTTTTAAACTATTGAAAGCTATAACCTAAAGTTGTTATTACCTCATTCTTTTTCTACTGTTACTTAGTTATATTCATTATTTTTCTTTTTTAAAAAGCATATAGGAGTATGTGTTCGTCTAGTAAAAGTATATAGAATGAAATTTAGGAATTTTATTTCCTTGATTTCCATTTCAAGATTGTTAATAGTTTAGTATGGCTTTTCTAGATTTCCCCTATGCATTTGCACAGATTTAAACAATGTCAATGGTGGGGTACAATATTTCATACTTCAATATTTTTCTGTGATTTACTTTTAATTTACTTAGCAATAAGCCTTGCCAAGTCAGAATTTTGAAATATCTGAATGTTATTTATTCCATGGTGATGATATAGATCATTAAAAATTTATTGTTGTTGTTATAAACATTACTATTATAAACATTTGAACCCATATTTGAGTTTTTTTTCCATTTTTAAGCTCAAATTTTGTTAGTTACTACAAAACACAGGTTTTACTGCTTAACATAAAAGTAAGGACACATTATTTTAAGGACACATTATCTTTTCTGTGAATACTGAATTCTAATAAATAGGACAATCTTAGAATAAATTATCCTGATAATAAAATCCTTGAAATGGAATTATTAGCTTTTTAAAATAAGCATTTATAGAACTCCAGGGCATATCTGAGTATTTCTGTGGAAGGATTCTTAGGAGTAGAATTACGGAGTCAAGCATCATTGGTATTTAGTATGCTGCTAGATATTACCAAAATATCTAACAAAAAGGCCTTATCAATTTATATTCCCAATTACAAGGCAGACGATTGCCCTCCTTTTAAATTAATTCTAAGGTTACATTGACTGTCTTACAATTGACAGGAACAATAAGACAAAAATATTCATAATTTAATGTGATAATTGCATTAATATGGGAATGCCTAATTCAAATTGTATTGGGAGTTTAGGAAGACTTTCTGGAGGAGTTTGCTTTAACTGGATCTTGAATAATGAGTTCTCATTAACCAGGCAAAGGAGGGGAGTATGCTGGGAGGGAAGACATTTTAGTCATGATGAGCACATGGCGGAATCATTGAGATAATATGATGACATACTGCAAGTGCTTCAAAATTGTGGAAGGAAAGGGTGTAATAACAGAAATACAGTGGAGGTGGTAAAAGGCAATGCTGGAAGGTAAAAGGTGGTAAAAGGCAATCCAAGGAAGTAGGATTACATCGTAGACAATGATGACCCTTTAAAGGCTTTTTTTTTTTGTTTTTTTAATCAATGGAAAGGTTGATTTTTGTGTTAGAAAAGTCACTTGCATCATTGTGGGAAGTAGAATGAAGCAAGTTCAATAGCAACAGAGACTGGGCAAGGAATGGGGAAGGAATAAGCTAAGGCTGTGGTCATGGTGTCTAGAGAATGGTGGGTGGATGTGAAAGTTCACGAGGAATTAATAGCACTGCGAGAGAATTTGACTGTGGCAGGTGAGGGAGATCCAGTGGTGCAGGGTGACTTTGGCATGCAGTTAGGATTGCTGTTTGCTAAGATATAGAGTATAGGAGAAAGGATGATTTAAGTAATCTGTGAGTTTCGCGTTGCTGCAGGTCACCTATGGAAGGTGCTTATGGCAGTGGATTGAGAGCTGAGCAGGAGATTCTGCCAGGGGAGACATTGTCACATAGTTAAAACTGATTCCTGTCATTGGGTGTCTTCTTCCTTGGAAACTTGTGGAAAGGTAAAGTACATTTAAGGGTCAATGAAGAAAGAAGAGAAGCCTGTGAGAAGGAATGGCCAGTTAACCATGAGGAAAACCAGTAGAGAATGGCATTCTGATAAGAGATGGGAGGGGTGTGTTTCATGCCAGACTGCATGGCAGTGAAGAGGGCGTGAGGAAATGTGGAGGCTTTTGCTTTGCGGAAGCCGGGATAAGGAGATAGAAACCATGAATTTGTAGTAGATAATGCTTATATAATTTGACAGTTTAGGTGGTAAGACTTTTGAGTCCAAAGAATTACATTCAGATCACTTTGTTCCATCATGTTAGTCAAACAACAACAAAACTGAGCTCCCAACTCTCCCCAGGGAGAGCTGGGAGAATAAAATGAGATGAATGTTCAAGTACATATTAGTTACATGTGTTATCTGCAATCTTCATTTCACCTTGGAGAGTTAAAAAATTACTGTGTAGAGAGGGTTGATAAATGTTTGCATGCCACCACACCCAGCTTTGTCTTCCTGTTTCGTTATTCAGGAAAATGCTATTCTTTATTCATCGTACAGATATGCTGCATTTCTGCTATGTGCAGGCACTAAACTAATTGTCAAGGGTACAATTCATACATTGTTCCTACTTTTAGTAATCTTATGATACAGCAGGGTAAATGTAGATAATATGACAATTATTCTAAGATGTGGCAGGAATAAGAGGGAGATACACAGCAAAGGAGAGGCTGTGGGGATTGGGGGTGGGACTCAGTGAAGCCTTTCCCAAGTGAAACCTGAGTGGAGAAGGATTCAAAGACTTCCAGGTAAAGCAGGAGGTGGAGGAACAGAGATAAGCAATAAAATAATAATGTAAAGCAGAGTAGAACATGGGTAGGTATTGAGAGGCAATTAGCAATAATATATTGCTGGACCAATAGATGGGCAGAAAGGATGTGGTGGGATAAGAATCCAGGAGCTGGGTCACAGCATCCCCTATATGTCAATCAAGTCAGTTTAGAATTTTACCCTAATGGCCACTGGATGCTGTTAAAATTTTAACCAGGGAGTAAAAATGGATAGATTTTTGTTTTATGTAGATAATTTTGAAGCCTGAATGAGGAATCCTGAAGTAGGAAGACCTAGTAGAGGAGGAAGTTTATAGTAGTTTGGACAATGAGTAAGAGCATGGCAGTAGGAGTTAGAGAGCTTGTTCAAGGAATATGTAGGAGAGAAAATGGCAGACTTTGATGATAGGTGTGGAGGGTTGGGAGGTTTTGTTGGTAGCATTGCACTCTTGAGAGATTGTGGGGAAGATGATGAGTTGATTATTTTTGGATTTCCCTTAATAAAAGAAACCAATTTATCAGATAGTTTAATTTTGTTTTGTATGGAATTCCATAAGAAAATTTTTCAGTTCTACTGCTACAGCTGTTAAGAGTCTAGACCTTTCCTCTTCCCTATGAGGATTAAATCTTTGTTTTAAATTTCTATTTTTGTCTTGTCTTTCTTTTTTTTTCTTCAGTATATAATTTTTTAGTTGTTGATGGACCTTTTTCCTATTATTTATTTATTTATTTGTGTGTTTGTTTATTTGCAGTACTAAGAATTGAACCTAGTGCTTCACAAATGCTAGGTAAGCACTCTACCACTGAGCCACAACCCCAGCTCCTTAGCTCATCTTTCTTAATTTTTTAATTCTATAGGAAGAACCTAAGAAAGTCCGCTTTGATTATGACTTATTCCTGCATCTTGAAGGCCATCCACCAGTGAATCACCTCCGCTGTGAAAAGCTAACTTTCAACAACCCCACAGAGGATTTTAGAAGAAAGTTGCTGAAGGCAGGAGGGGTAAGTGGCACTCCTTTGTGAAAAGCCCTCCTATAAAAAAAACAACTTGCTAGTGTGTTAAGAAGTATGATAGTATTTTCAGAGAGGTAATAGAGATGAAGTACCTTAATGGTTTAGCTGTGGATTCTGTATAGGAAGAAGTAGGCAAACAATATTTTAGTGGGGGTGGGTCTGAGATTACATTGTTGGTTAGAACAGCCTTAAGATCTATGCAGTTCAAATTTATTTTGATGACAGCCCAAAGCAAGAAACATTAAACTGTCTTCAATTAGGAAAAAATATTTTCTGAAACTTTTTATGTTAGTTATAGAAACTTGGGGAAAAGTTGAAAATCACATTAAAATGATATAAAAGGTATACATAAAAATGATATAAAAGTTCTTGTCCATAGTTTCTTGATCACAATTAGTAGGAAAAAAAGGGGTACATTCACTCCTATGTTTGTGTAATTTAAACGTATATTTTTATTTGAATTGTATTATGTAAACAGTGAATTTTTATTTTTGTGATAGTGGTAACAAAGGTGTGGTTAATTTTTCACCTTGTGATTTGACTTGTTTGGACTAAATTTATTGTAAGCAGAAACATTAAAATATGTACTTATACCCAAGTCACTTGTACAGACAAATGGTATTGATTGGTCAAAATCTGTTTTATGTAATGTCATCGAGACTATCAACCCCTGCTTCAGATGAACTTCCTTTGTTGTCTCATATGGATAATTTATGCCCTGTCTAATTTTGAAATTTGTTCATTACTCTAGGATCTTCTTCACTTAGGTGTTGTTTTCCCCCACTTAGTTTTTTGGGAAGGTTTTTGTTTAGTTTTGTATCCATGAAGTTATCATTTTCTGTAAGCATATGTAGACCATAATCTATGAAGTTGTTCTCTTCACTGTTATTACCTGAGGGCTTTAGAGGAAAGAGTCAAGAACAACCACTTAGTGAACCTCAGGAAAGCTATGGAAATACTAAAGTGCATGTGAAGTACTGTAAGTACTTTTACTATGTTCATTCTTCGCTGTAGCTTATGTCAGTAAATTATGAGTTAAATAAGTATTGGTGGGTCAGCTGCAGAACGGAACCACCACTTATTCTGTGGGAAAAATGCATCTTTGTGAAAAAGTGGGCTTTTGGAAGACAAATTATTTTCGAATTTGGGACTTGGATTCTTAGGAAGGGAGCTGTTTTAAAAACTAACCCTATTTTATTCCTTTAATTGTTATCAAGAGCACAATGCTGATACTCTTTACTTGTGGCTGTGTCCTTGACAATCATCTGGTCCATTTTTAAAAACCCAAGCACCCTGATTATTTTACTTTGTTATGAGTGTGGCATGTTGTGTTTCCCATTGTCTCTATGTTGTTGGATAGGTAATTTGAGTGTGTGTGTGAATTATGGGACTTGAGTACATCAAGCTTCTGATAAGAGTCTCAGGGAAAAGTAAATATGACGCAAGAACTTTTAAAAACAACCACTTAGTCCCAGGGCACTCACAGGTTACTTGTGAGCGGGAGGAGAGGTTAGAGGTCAGTGATAATGCAGTAGAGTGCAGTGCCACACGTCTATGAGGCCTCTCCACGATTGCTTGTCTTTTGCTCTGTGCAGAATGATCCTCCTTGACTTCTGACTTTCCTTCTTTGTGTTTCTTTAAGTGATATTTGAAGGCTGCAGATATTTTCTGATTAGACTTTTTGTCTTGACAACTGTAAAATAATAATTTCGAAATGTGAAATATTCCAACCACACTAATTTGACATATTTTATAAGTAATTCATGGGGCTGATTGCAGTGAATTTTGTAGTAAAACAAAATTTAGAAATTCATTTGAAGTTGGGGAATCTTATAGATTCTTCCCCTTCATTTAAATAGGAAGATTAAAGTTACCTTTGATAGAAATGTGAAAAGCAATCAATGGAGTAATACACTTTTTTGGCTTACTTAGATTTTTGACGTATATTTGTCTGATATTTATACATTTACCATTGTCTTAATATTAATGCAGCCTCTCGGTGTTGCTAACTTTTGAACCACTTTGGTTTTATTTGAAATTTTCTGTCCATGACTATGTCTCTTCAGATACTTTGTGTGTGTGTGTGTGTGTGTGTGTGTGTGTGTGTGTTGGGGGCCAGGATTTTGGGATGGAGAGGGAATGCTGTATTTTTTTTTAAACCTAAATATTATATGTGTGACATAGACGTCTGTGTTCTAGCTTTAAAGGAAAAAAAAAAACACAACAACTCAACCTCTTCTTCATATACACAGGGTGTGATCCTTATGTACAGCTGAGGAATGAATGGAATAACCCTGGTGTTGGCTCTGGTTCCTTCTCTTTCAATTTTTTTTCTTTTGAACCAAAAGTGCATAGCACTATGAACACTGAACTTGGCTTTTCTAGAGATCAGAAAGATTGTTTTTAGAGCTGGCAGCCTCTTACCAAAAAATGCTTTTCAACTCTCAGATGGAAATGATTCCAAAGAAATTTTGCCAGAAGAATCTCAAGAAGTTGCAGTTTCTTTTCTGCTTTATAATCTATAAACCTATAGGTACATGACAATTATTTTCTCCCACTGGATTTCCTTTTGTTAATGTCATGACTATCTAAACAGTTTCCAAAAAATGTCAATGTACTTCACCCTTATAAAAAATGCACCTTATACCCTTCTATTGAATAACTCTGTAATATTAAGGATATCTTTGGTTTAAAAGGGGGAAAAAAAAAGCTTTCATGAGCCAGGTCAGTTTGGACTTAAGCATTATTTTCTGAGTCTATTGAAATACAGAATTATTTCTTTTACAGGACCCTGAAGGTAACATCCTCTAAATTAGTGACCTCATTGGAGGTTGCTGGAGAAATTGTGGATTTGGTTTAGAATCTAGCCCCTGTCAGCCCTTGTAAAGATAAGACAGAGGGCCAGTAGTTAAGAAATGGAAAGGAACAGCATTACAGCTTCTTTTAAAAATTATTTAATATATTTATAATTTTTATTTATATTTATTTTGTATCATTAAAGGGTGGAGTGAACAATAAACTTTTGACGGTAAGACTGGTATAATTTATTTATTCTTGAATTTTAAGCAGAAGGACCAAACCTACTTCATGGAGAAGCTCCTCTCTGTTCCACCTGAAGTATTTCTACTTATTTCTCATTTTAAAAAAAAGGAACTAATGGATCCTTTTTAGACCAATGATTCTCAAATTGTGTTGATCAGGATGATATGATTAAAGGATTTGAGATTATGCTAGATGGCTCTCTACTGTCTATTCACTTATCATCTTCTTAGTAGCTGCAATTCAGTCTTATAGAAAAACAATGTGGAAAAATTTAGTATCCCTAACTCCTACATTGTATTGGAAGAAGGTGAGATTCCCTTTGGGTATTGGCAAAACACAGATATATATTAGCGATTGCATGTCATTTCACTAAAATTGATTGTTCTATTAACTTGTTTCTGAATTTCTGATTAGGAGGGCATATGATAACAATTGGTAAAGATTTGAAGTCAGGCAGATTTAGGTAAAAACCTCATTCATGCCTTTTATCTTCAAGCTGGGCTGTCCTGTAAAAGTTGCTGCATCTTGTGGAATCTTGGTTATGAGCTGTGTAATGGATGTGGTGGTATTTTCCTCATAGGGAATGTGATGATGTGTGGCATATAGTAATTACCTAATACCTTAGCTCTTTTTGCCTTGATTACTAGTTTAGAAGATAAACAGAAGTTATTTTCTTTATATCAAGCACTCAAAGTCATAGCAAAAAGTGTTGCTATTTAGTGTAAGCTACTCAACATGTACTCTCTGCATCAGACAGTGTGATCTATGTTCGTTGAAGCACCCTGAAGGACCATGTTGTATTTAAGGAAGACTAACCTATAGTGTCTTTCTTCAAAGAGTTTACACTCTGGGTGTCTGCATTTTGTTTGTATAAAGTATAACTTCAATTCTGTTTGAAATATCCTTTTTAAGATATAAGTTTTAACTAGGAAAATTAGTGATTCATTGTTATTAATTCCAAATTCCTGGCAGGTGTGAGAGGCTCTGAAAGCTCTGTTGCCTTAGGAGATTGCTCATTCGTCATGTCCAGGAAGGTAGTTCTGTCCTTGTGCTCCTATGAAGAAAGTACAAAACGGCAAGCATTTTTGGAGAACCTACTTTACTTTATAGCTGCTCTGCCTCCCTGCACCCCCCTACCCCCTGCACCCTTTTTTGGCCTGGAAATCAAATGGTCTGCCTTGTTTCTGTTCTTCGTGGAGTGATGGTAGGGTATTGGCCAGCCAAGCGGCCTGCCTTTGTGACTTCCTTCTTTCCTTCCTCCCTCCCTCCTTTCCTTTTTTCTTCCCTCCCCCTCCCTTTCTTCCTCTTTACCTTCTTCCCTCTCTCCCATCCTTCCTCCCTCCCTCCCTTCTTTTTTCCTCTCCTTCTTCCCTCCCTCAATTAAACAGGGCAAAGTCTAAACATGTTGTTCAGTCTATTTCTGAATCACTGGCAAGCAGTTAATTTTAAGGACTGAAAATTAAAACTAACCACAGCAGTTGTTAAAGCCAGGGTTTCTATAGGCAGAAATCCAATTCTGTTCAGACACCACCTGTTTCAATAGGACATTTCAGATGCCCATTTGGCAAGATTTGCTGAAGACATGGGGAACATGCTTTCAGTCTGTATTAAGTCTGTAGCATAATGCAGTCCTGCTTCTCCAAGTGACAGTTACATTTATATGTGATTTCTTTTTGCAGGAAATAAATTGGAATTTTTCTCAAACCCTGCTTATTATGAAGTGAAATTCACTTTCCACCAAGGGGTTTTGGTTTCTAAAGGGCCAAAGGGATCTTATGATAAGGAGCTTTCACTAATACAACTGTGTCAAGCTGTGTGAACATGACATTATATTGCAAAGATCTGGAAAGAACCTGTGTTAGTGTGGTTCAGCATTTTCTTTGTAGGAGAGTTTAGAACACTTCTAATTTCTAAACCATACAGATCACTTTCGTTCCTGCACAAAT